ATCTGTTCTCTTTCTTTTCCCATTTACAACCGTTTTTGTGCAATATATGCCAGGGACCCGTGCAATACATTTATATTTAGATTTATATGTATATACTTACATCTATACTTATATTCATACGTGTGATACGATTTTTCTGTGTACTGTTCTGTTCTAGTTTGTTCTTTGTGTGTCCGGACTGTGAGTAACTCTTTTAGTGCACCCCTCACTGTACTGATTGCATTGAATGATACAGTAATAATAGTACAATACATACGTTACACTGTGGCTGAGTTGTCTGTGTTTAGCTGCTGTTGCACTGCAATTTCCCTCACGGGATCAATAAAGTATCTATCTATATCTACTACAGGAGGTACAGTATGGTCACCACGGGTGTGATATCAACTAAGGCCTGCATAATTCTGAACACCAGCTCTTGAGCATAACTCAAAAGACCACTTTTCTTGAATTGGGGAGTGCCATTTTTCTTGAATTTTAATGAGTGGGAGAGTGTTACTTTTTAAAAAGTAATCCATTACAGTTACAAGTTACAGTACTTCATTACCTTACATAGCACATATACACACACGTAACATAAAATACATCACTGTATGCAATCCTTTACACAAGTAACTTGTAAATATTAATGAATTACTTTTAAAAGTAACACTCCCCAACTCTGTATGAAAGTGGCTTTATGCTGCTTGATATACTGTATTTTGCATTTATAGAGTTAACATACAGTATAATCTCTGAAACCAAAGGGAATTACACATTACCAAACTAGTAGAAACAAAGTTAGATTCAGCAGTTCACTGGAAATGTAACTGCAGGCATTTTTTATGCATCGAACAAAGGTTCTGTCCAGTCTTCTCCCCATTAAAATCAGTCATGCACTGCATACCTTCATCGCAAGGTTATCAATATTGATCATGATTAGCATTATTATTTAGATCTATTAAAGTAGACAGCAGGACATTTTTTATATTAATTTTACTATTTTGCAGAGGCAGATATCGTTCAGATATCCTCTTTCATAGACATTCATAGTTTATTGGCATTGCTTAACATATATCAAAGGTAAAACAGCACAAAATATTAGGTAACTGAGGTTTTTCATTTTGTTTTCGCATTGAGTATAAAATTAATCATCTTTAAACATGATGAACTACGTAGTCAATGGGATAAATAATAAACTTTGTGTGAAACTTTGTATAAATGAAAATCGTAGTATTAAAGTATGCCCAGCCTTTATCCCGAGACATGTTCTGAATTATATTACACATTATATATAAAAGCTTGTGATATTTAACTTTCATAAATCCAAGATCACAGTCAAATGAAATCACACTGAAAACTAAACTGCAGCCTTCAAATGTTAATATAGAGAGGAAGATGCTACTTATAGTGAAAAATTGAAACACCTCAACCCATGTTAGAAGCATTTATTTAGAAAAACCCACAAAGTAACACCAACAGCAATATTTTTGTACAACATATATGTAGTCTAAACAAAAAATACTGTATTTTAATGTTCGTATTATGATGTTAATTTTAGTATTTTAACTACAGCTCCACTAATTGTATGGTCTAAAATGACTAACCATTCCTAAAGAAAGCACATTATTTTAGCTGCATACTAACATTAGCAAAGAACTAGCACTCTTTATTTTACAGCACTATTTAACTTGAGAAAAAAATAACCAGAAAAAAAGACACCTAACTACTCCAATGTGGTGAAATACAATAGATTTCAGAAGGTATATTATGCCTGCAAATTTAAATCGTACATAATTAAGATATCTATCCTACATGACAGGATTTTTTTAAAATTCCTCCAGCAGGAACTCCCAAGACTATCAATGAATACAAATCTTTCCCTTACCCAACCATAGACATTTTTTGGTCCTTCACTGACTGAATTGTCTGACCCTTTTCTAATTTATAAATATAAAAAATTGCTACACCTACTGCATGGTACAAAATATTTTCTATAACATTGCACACACTACAAGAGTGAATGCCCTGCTCTTCTGCGTAGACAATCAGGTACCTGACAAATCCGTTTGCTTTTCAAGTTGGATCACTATGGCTCCCTACTCTCATACAATAGAAACTTTAATAAGGGGCTCCAGTGTAAAAGAGAAACCTGAATATCTATCCATAACTAAACCAAATTAATGGAAATGACAAAGAACAGCCAAATCGCTGTGCAGCAAAAATGTGTTAGCGTACCATAGAACATACTAAAACTTTACATGACAAAAAAAATCAAACATGACTACTTGCTTGTCTGTGGAGTTGCAAAGCCAATGGTTGAGAAATAATTTAAATGTCTTATTCATCTGGAAACGTGTTTCATGTTTTAGGTTGTGGTGTAATCAAAGCAAAGATGCTAAAATTTAAACTTGCTTTTTAGTCATTACTCTAAAATACTCATGTAGGAGCCCAGTATTTGCCACTGTATAAACCCAGGTCTTCAGATTGCATCAACCTATTATGGCTTTCATTGTCCTTTCAGCTCATTTGTAATCTAACATTACAATCTGTATAAATTCTATGGTGACAGACAGAGGATCTGCTGCTAGCCAGAATTTACACTTGGAAGTTACTTAGCTGCCAAGAATAAAGGGCTCTTTTTCACCAAGTGTATGCATCCAGTTTGTAATGTGCACAAGCCTTCAATTAAGTGAATTTT